AAAAACCCCTTTCCCCTTCCCTCTATCACCCCAACCAACAGCAATATAGTACACAAAACCAATCCTTCAGCTAAGCACAGCATACAAATCCAAACCACTATAATATATATGCATCCTCAGAGTATTATCTTGACATAGCCTGCTAGACATGTCACACTCTTTATAACATTCACCCCTATTTGATTCTTAACTGATAAAGTGACCTGCATGGAAAATCTGTTAAAATTCAGCATCAACATTTCTCAGTTTGGCTATTGATTGCAAACTAAGTAGGATCAGACCCTTTCTCTGTGGCTGATCCACTAATAAAAACACTTATTCACATAACAGATGACTTACTTGTGAAGGACCCAGTCCTAAAGTATCTACTAAGGGAAAACGTGCATTGAAATCAAAGACGGGCTTTGCTGACATAAAACGTGAGTAAAGATACAGAATGTGGTCCAGAAAGAGAGAAATCCCCAAATTCCAATGATATCCCATAGTCCAAGATTAAAAGGATCTGTAAATCCCAGCCATTTTATACATGTTGATCACGTGTTAGAGAGGAGGAAAGACATTTTTACTCTGCTAACGAGGCATCTAGGTAATGACTTTTAGAGGTGAATAACAAGTTATAATGTAGCAGTTTGTGAAGGTTTAAAGGAGGCTAAGAAAGACAAACAACGATTAATCTTAAAGTAATTACTATTTTTGTCTCCGTATAAGTAAAAATTGGTGTTTGTCCATGTCTTCCTGACATACACATAAAGAAATTAGATAGAAATATAAATACTCTTGCTAGAAGGTTACAACGTAACACTACTTTATTTCTTAAACTTTAGAACAATAACATACATAAACCCCAAAACAGAGAGACAAAACAGGCTGCTCCCTAAAAACACTTTACTCCCAACCACTTTACTCTAGGCTGGCTTTCAGCAGAGCAAACGGACTGTGATCACATGCTTCCATACAGAGCCCCTTAGCCTGCGAGCAGAACCAAGAACCCGCCCCCCTCCTCCTCCCCACACACCCAGAGATGGCCCCTACCCTGAAGAGGTTACAATCTAAATGGACAAGACAGTACAAGAGTGGGACTAAAGAAGTATTATTATCCCCATTTCACAGGTGGGGAACTGAGGTGCAGAACAATGAAGTGACTTGCTCACAGTCACACAGAGCAGGGAACTGATCCAGCACTCCTAATTCACAGTCCTGTGTGTTAACCAAAAGACCATCTTCCCTCTCTTATCTTTTTTTTTTTTTTTTAAAGAAATCACTTACTTAGCTGCCAAGTCCAGAATTCAGTTGTCCTTGTTTCACCCGCATGTCACTGATGAAACTTCCACCTATATGTCCATCACTTTAAGAAGATGTGTTTTCAGGAGTTACAAGGGAACACTCAGTATTTCCAGCGCTTGTGATTTTATTGTGAGTCTTGCAATATTTGGTGTTTTCTTAAAGCCCCAGCTCCTGGAGTCATGATGTTATGTGAAAACCTTGGCTTTCGCTTAAATCAAAGTAAGTTTCTAACCCTTCGGTTGGAGAGAAAAGCTTGCAAATGTGAATCCAAAAGGCTCAATAAACAGAAGGCAAAAAAAAAAATTCTTCAGAATTTATTTTTTTCTTAGTAATCCCTTGATTTTAAGCCAATCTCCTGATTTTTGGGCCTGACTCGTGATTTTTTTTTGATGGCTTGGGGTTGGTAATACTGGAACACAAAATCCAGAGCTCAGGACTTGCCAGGTAAGCAAAGGAGAAGCTGATTCTCAGAGCAAATTGCCTGCATATGTAACTCTGTTTATAATTGCTAAGCATGCCCATATCGGACAAGCTGTGGGGTACAAAAAGACATTCTGATCACTAGCTCTGATTGCAGAGAAGAGTAAGAAAAATCCTTTTGAGATGTCTCCATCATAAAAAGGAACAGTTCATCCTAACTAGTTTGGGACATGGCCCTGCAGTCCTCAGTCAACCCACACTGGCTTCCCTTGAATGTCTGATGCAGAAAAAGGCTGCCTAACTCAGCTTGGCCATTTGAAAATATTGGAAACCTGAGTGCTTCAGAGTTGTTTGGAAGGTAACAGTTGTTTTAAAGATGCTCAGTAAATTTTCCAGGGTATTAAATCAACTCTTAAGTGCAATAACAAGCCTAGTTCACAATGACTTTTAAATGTCCCGGTCTGTGTTTTCTAACAGCAAAACAAATTCTTTCGCTCCCCTTCTGTATCATCAAAGTTGGCCCTTGCTTAGGCTGCGTTTATACTACAGATTTCTGCTGGCATAGCTACATCAGTCCTTGTGCAAAGGGTTCTGATCACTGACTGTGCTGGCAGAAGTCCCTTGTGTAGATGCAGCTATATTAGCAAAGTTGTGCTTTTAGCATTATAGGTTGTTTTGCTTATTGGGGGCAGTTTTATTATATAGAACTAAGTGCAGCTTTGCCAGTATAGCAGCGTTCACACTAGGAGCGCTTTGCCAGTGTAGTATACCAGTACTCCTATACTGGCAGAGCACTCCTAGTGTAGACATGGCCTTAGAAGTCTCATTAGAAGTGTTAGCTCCCAGTGAGAGGCTAGAATAATGACAGGTATTTCCAAACACTATTGAGAAAAACACTCTATTCTACAAGCAGTTTCACTGATGATTTCTGTCGAACTTTACAGACAAAGGCTCTCCTCAGGTTGAGTGAAAGTGGCACAGTTGGGTCCTTGCTACTTACCTAGCTACAAAGTCTAAGGTCACTGGAGTTTTCCTTGAATGATTTGGGATCTTTGCAATCCCTTAAATTTTATTGTATAAAAGCTTTCATCTTGACTGAATGAGAGATGAAGGGGTAACTGAGCACAAACCCCTTTTGCCGGGCTTTTCAGTAAATCCCATATTTTGCACATGCAACTGCATGCATGTGCATTCTCAATTTTCAGCTGTCAGATTGCTCCAGTGAAAATATTGCAGTGTATTTGCCCATGTGTTTGCACCTAAGTGCATGCGCTTGTGCCTGCCCTCTCTCCGGGTCTGTACTCAGATGATTAGCCCGAGCCAGTGCCCAGGCCACAACATCAATTTTGCTGTTTGTAGTGCACTAACTCGAGCCGAGCTAATACATGTCTGTCTATCCGGGTCGGGAGGCTCCCTCCCTGATGCATTGGAGACAGACCCTTCTAGACCTCAACCAGTTCAGCTTCTGTTGCATTTCTAGTACTAACTTCTACTGCAGTTAGAGGAACCATGCTCACCAGCAGAAGATTAGACATTAGACACTGCAGCACCTTGGAGTTAAAGGGAGGGATGGGCAGATAAAAATTACTCAGACTTCCTATACTTTTATATAACTTTTTCTTTTTTAAAAAAATCTTTTAATCTTCACTTTTCTCAGCCTCTCTGGGTTCTGACCATACAGGAAAGTTGTGGAAATCTGGCACAAAATCTCACCCTATTTGTTAGTCCAGTTTAGCATTCTAGATGTTTTAATAGGAATCCAAACTTCTGGATGCTTATTTGCATGGAATCTTGGAGCATTTATTCCCACCCCTCCCAAATTATTGGTTAAAACCTTTGCAAATTTCATGGACTTCCAATTGAAATGAAATTGGTGAACTTCTGTTCCGTTTAAATTCTTCCATGTGAGTGGAAACAACTAGTCAGGAAAAAATGTGTCTTTTTGAATGTGGTGGTTTTAATTTGAGATCCTTTATTGTTTCATTTTCAAAAACCAAGTGATGCAATACAAATTAATTTTAAAAGCAGAAATTAATTAGGGTCTACTAAAACTTAGCTCACTATAACTCATTTGTCTATCTTGGGCCTGATTCTCCTCTTCCTCAGTGGTGTAAATCAGGAGTGACTCCAATTAAGTCAATGGAGCTACACTAGTGTAAACAGAAGGGAAATCAGGCTGCGTGTTCTCAAACTTGACCATATTTGACAGAAAAGATCTAGATAGGTAAATAAATCACTGTAAATAGATGGATTCTCAGTGGATGGGTTTTTAGAAGTGCACAGCACTGGGCTAACTTCTTCTCTCTTTGAAGACAGAGCAGATTTAGACCAACACTGAGTGCCTTTGAAAATCCCACCCTAATACTGAAGGATGGGCTTGTGATCCAGGTGCTGGACGAGGACCCAGGAGATCTAGATCCAATTCCAGGCTCTGCCACAACCTTACTATGTGACCTTGAGTAATCTGTCTGCATCCCATGTTTGTGGGAGGAGGCCTGTGGCCGAGCGATGACTCACCGGCACGGCGCCTCCTGCTGGTCTTCCTGGGAATTAGCGCTTTCCCCTGCAATTTGGGCCTCCCTACCCTGGGGAACCCCCAACCCTTTATCCCCACCTTGCCTCAGTGGCTACTGCTAGTCACCATCTAGCCCCTGCTCACTGGGGCAGACTGCAGTCTGTAAACCTCTCATCATCGACAAGGGGGGTTAGGACCTGCTGCCTTTGCCTATCTCTGGGCTGTCCCTCTGCAGCCCTAGTACCCTTTTTTGGGCCTGTAACTCGGTCTGCAGCCTGGGGCCTTGCTAGGCTGGAGCTCCCCAGCTCCTTCTGCCCTTCCCCAGCACTGCTCCACCCTAGGTACCCTCCTCAGCTTCCCAGGCAGCCAGGTCCTTCTCTCTCTCTCTAAGAGACTGGAGAGAGAGTCTCTCTGTCCTTCTGGCCCACCGCCCTCTTATAAGGGCCAGCTGGGCCCTGATTGCACTGGCTGCAGCTGTGGCTGCTTTCCCAATCAGCCCAGCCTTTCCCCTGCCACAACCCTCTCCCAGGGCTGTTTTAAGCCCTTCAGGGCAGGCGCGGGGTAACCACCCCACTACAAGGCCAATACTTCCCCATGGTGTTATATAGGCTCATGGGTGCAGGTGAGGCTCCCAGAAGCTGTGATGATGAGGCCAACATAGACCCACCGACATTCCTGGTAGTGTTTACAGGCCAGATTTCTGCCAGCTGCTGCTCCTACATTGTGCATCATTATCTCGCTCTCTCTTGTTCCTCCATTTGCCAGGTCTTCCTTGCCTAAGATGACGCAGCAGATGCGGGACATTCAGCTGGCCCAGGCCAGGAAGCCACCAGGACCCTCCTCCCCGAATGCCGCCAAGAGGCTTTACCGCAACCTCTCGGGGAAGTTCCGCGTTAACTACACTTCATTCGATGAGGGCAGCTTGCCAGGGAGGAGTGAGAAGGAGAAGCTACGCAAGACCTATCTTGTGAGTGCTCTGGGCTTGCGGGTGTTCATACCAAAACGCAGCCCTGTGGTAAAGCTGGGTGTACCCCGGTGTGACTCCATTGGTGGCAGAGACGAGCGGAGGTGGGTGGGCAGATCCCTGCCTATACCCCATCCTTCGTGCACACACCCCAGCAACAGAGCTGGCTGGATGTCGGGGGGGGAGTGAGCCACAGTAAATTCTGTCCCTCCTGGAGCAGGTGAATCCAGTCCTGAATGGTTCCTCAGGATAGGGTCATTTGCACTTTCTTAAAACAAAGGATTAGTATTGTCAGTTCTTGGGGCAGGGACTGTCGTTTGGTTCTGTTTGTACAGCGCCTAGCGCAGTAGGGTCCCAGTCCACAGCTGGGGCTCCTCGAGGCTACAGTAATACAAACCAATCAGTACAGGCCTAGGTGCCTGACAAATCCACTGGCATTCTGTACACTGTGTTAGGCATGGAACAGCTGTGGATAACGAGCCCCTTTGCCTAAGGGTGTTGTGAGTCAAGGATCAGCCCCTCTGGTAGAGACTGGCAATAGACCCCATTCCATACCTACTGCCCTTTCACAGCCTGTTTTGTGGATAGGCGTGAGGCTCGGCACTCAATCCACCTGGCGCTAAATACACTGAGAACCCCGTGTAATGACTTGGAATAGAGCCTGGCCAAATCTCAGTGAGGAAAGCGGGGTGAGGCTGCAATGCCCAGCACCCCGGGCTCAGTGGGCCCCATTTCTTGTGTCATTGCAGTTTCAGAGCAATGCGGCTCTCTTTGAAGCTGTTGAGCTGCAGGATTTGGACAGAGTGCAGGAGCTGCTAAAACAGTACAGCCCAGAGGAGCTGGACCTTAACACCCCAAACAGCGAGGGCCTGCTGCCGCTGGATATTGCCATCATGACCAACAATGCCCCCATTGCCAGGATGCTGCTGCAGGCCGGAGCCAAGGAGAGTCCACACTGTAAGTCACCATTACAGGGTATTTTTCTCACCCCCTCCTGCTCTGCTGTGTCTCACGTGCTCTGTCTTAGATGCTAATGGAGCTCCGCTTACCGTAGCATCTAGGCACCCTAGTGCCTGGGCCTAGGGTTACCATATTTCAATACTGCAAAAAGAGGACACTCCACGGGGCCCTGGCCCCGCCCCAACTCCGCCCCTGGCCCCGCCCCAACTCCACCCCGCCCCCGCCCTAACTCCACCCCCTCCCCTGAGCACCCCGCATTCCCCCTCCTCCCTCCCGCCCCCCGGCTGCTGCTGCGCTGGGGAAGTTGCTTCGGCCCCCGCTGCGGTGGAGAGCGGCGGGAACTGGGAAAGTTGGAGTCCAGGGAGGAAGCGGTCCCCTTACCATGCCTCCCTATTTTCCCGGACATGTCCGGTTTTTTGGAAATTCCTCCTGGACGGGGATTTGAGGACCAAAAAGCCGGACATGTCCGGAAAAATCTGGACGTATGGTAACCCTACCCCAGAGCCGCCTCCCGCCCGCCCGCCGGAACCCCCAGGCCTCACCTCAGAGCCGCTTCCTCCCGCCCGCCAGACCCCCCAGGCCTCACCCCAGAGCTGCTTCCCGCCTGCCCGACCTCCCAGGCCTCGCCCCAGAGCCGCCTCCCGCCCGCCCGCCGGACCCCCCAGGCCTCGCCCCAGAGCCACCTTCCTCCCAACCGCCAGACCCCCCAGGCCTCACCCCAGAGCCGCCTCCCGCCTGCCCACCGGACCCCCCCAGGCCTCACCCCAGAGCCGCCTTCCTCCTGCCCGCCCGACCCCACAGGCCTCACCCCAGAGCCACCCACTCTCCACAGGGGCCATCCTCATCCTTCTCCTGCCTCAGTGCCCCCTCTCCTGAAAGCCTGCCCTCCGCAGCCCCCCCACTCTCCAAAGCCCCTGCCTCAGAGCCCCCCACCCCCTCCCATAGCCCCCACCTTCCATAGCGCCCCCCACCTTCCACAGCACCCCTACCTCTATCCTCCCCTTCACCTCCCTCCATAACCCCTACCCTTCATTTCCCCACCTCCTCCCATAGCCCACCCCCTCCACAGCCCCCCACTCTCCACAGCCCCTGCCTCAGAGCCCCCCGCCCCCTACCCTCAGAATCCCCCCCACCTCAGAGTCCCCCACCCTTCACCTCCCTCAGGGGAGCCTCCACCCCGCTCCCAGATGGACGTGGCGAGGCTGCGGCAGCTCAGGCTGCAGGAGGCGCTGCAGCGCGGGCCCTTCCCGGGTGGTGGAGCTCGGGCTCCCAGGAGCCGCCACTGCCGCGCACCGAGAAACTTTCCCCTGCGCCAGGACCCACCCCCGGGCAGTGGCTCCGCCGTGGGGGGAGGCAGCCCCGGCTGCATGGACCGCTGGCGGGGGGGCTCCTTGCATGGAGGGGGGAGACTGAGGCTCTGCCAGAGCCGCGGGGGATGCTCGGAGGAGGGAGAAGCGACCGCGGGTCTCCCGCACCAGCAGCTGGCTGCAGAGACGCCATCGCTCCTAGCTGTGGGGCGCAGGGTTGCAGCAGCACGGGGGGGTTGCACTCCGCAGGCTGAGCCAGCTGACACACCAAGAGGAGAGGGGGCAGTGCGTAGGGTTATCATACGTCCGTATTTTCCGGACGTTTTTATATATTTAAAAAATCCTCCCGGACGGCAATTAACAACTAAAAAGCCGGACATGTCCGGGGAAATACGGACGTATGGTAACCCTACCTGGGCCAGTGTCTTCCTCTTTGAGAGTCCACTCTGCTCCACTGACCCAAAGGAAGAAGGCAGCGAGGACCTGGGGAAGGCTGACAGGAGGAGGCTTGTAGTGCAAAGAGTGGTGCAAAGGGAGACATGTGAGATCCTGAGGGTTAGCGGGAAGGTGGATGCATTGGGGTGACACAAGTCCCCAAACCCAGTGGCCTGATCTAAAACTAGGAGGGAACCAGACAGCAGGAGAGCTCAGGAGAGATTTCTGTAAGGCCTTCCTGTGGAATGGACAGTCACGGGCTGCAGGACAGGCTGAGCTGGGAGCATGTGTGTTTCTAAAGAGAGCACAGTAGGATAGGTAGGTGATGGCATTGGGGGAGGCCAAAGGAGGAGGCCTATGTGCCTCTTCTGTCATAGGTGATTGCCCTCCTGAGACTGGCAGCATGTGTTTCCTGAGGGAGGGGCAAGTGAATGTCTCTTTGCAGTGCCACTCCCAGAGCTTGCCACTTGCTACCCTTTGCTGGCCTCAAGGCACATTCAGCTGCTTGGTGAGGTGGAAGGGGACTGCTCTGTACAGCAGAGGGTGGGAAGATGGAGCTAGGAGATTATCCCAGCCTCTCCTGGACCTCTTGTGATCTCACAGTCTCTGCCAGATAAAGGAGCTGGCGGGTAAAGACCTCCTGTGTCGTTTGCTCAGCATAGAGGTGTGGGGATTGAGTGTCCCGTAAAGAGCCATGAACAGTTTGTCCAGTGCCATGGGAGAACGAGGTTCCCCTGTTTAAATGAAGTTGCTTAGTTTAATCTGTACAAAGGGGTGCCCTGTTAAGCATTTATCACTCTGCCTTCAGGGATAGAGGAATATTCTGTCCCCCAGCAACGAGGCTGTGCTGTATTGGGGACTGGGCTGGGAGTGGGCCCATTCAGACAGCATGTAGTGGGGATAGCTGGCAGAAGAGCAGACAGAGACCAGGAGTTCAGACAGGCGGGCTCCTTTGCCTCCAGTGGAGTCAGGAAAGCCTGCAGGCTCCCCTGGGAAGGGAGGACATGGCTTAGAGCAGCTGTGAATATCAGAAGGTATCATCCCATGTAGAAAGCCAAATCACTCTCACAGATGGGAGGGTTGAAGGCAGGTTGTGCTGCAGCTTGTTGACTCATCTGCTTGGCTTGATGGAGGTCTCATTTCATACAACGGCCTCTGTTCTGAGCAGGAGGAAATACCAGCTAGCGGCAGGGAAGGGGGTTGGCTTCATGTTTTAAGGGGATAATAGAAGAATGATCACAGTTGCTTTCTGCAGACAAACAGCACGACTCCCACTTTTCCTGGACTGTGGGGTATTCCAGAGCAGGCACATTGCATAGTGGTAGGTGAATCTCAGAAGGGTCAGAGACCATAGTCAGTCCTGATCAGCACCCAGCCATTCAGAAGCTGATCCCAGTTCTCCAAGCCAGCTGAGTTTGTGTAATAGGGCCAGGGGAGCTGGTGGGAACAGGCTGTCTCAAGGGTGCTCACCCTGCCACTTGCCCTGGGAAGTGGCCAAGTGCCTGGGAATAGACAGCAACCCTTTACTCTCCAGAAAGCTTTAGTTTGGAGCCATAGGCCAGCGCCTGCGGGAAGGACATGAGCGCTAGTCTGGGACACTACACCGAGGGGTGGGGACGGGGAGGCAGCCTGGCCAGTAGATCTGTGACTACATGGATCTCCTGGCTGGAGGGGCAGCACAGGGATCACATCCTAAAGCCCTGTTCAAAGCCCACTCACTCCAGCTGTGTGCATGGGAGTGAGGATTTGAACCCAGGTAGCTCTGGGGCATTGGTCATGGCCATTGCCGATGACGCTACCTGGAGGATGTGAATCAGGCCAAGTAGCTGATGGACATATCACAGTGTAGATAAGGGAGGAGCACAGCGTAGAATCAAAGACGTGTTGGGGGCTTGCATGCAGTGGGCTGGACCTAACTGCCCTGTCTTCTTTCCCTCTCACTTCCCTGCCCCTGGCAGTCATGAGCCTGGAGAGCCGCACCTTGCATCTGGCGACGCTGGTGCGGGAGGCAGAGCAGCGAGTCAACGAGTTCACCGCACAGGTGGCAAATGAGACGCCCAACACTGACTGCTCAGAGAAGGAGAAGCAGCTGAAGTCCTGGGAGTGGCGCTACCGGCTTTACAAGCGCATGAAAGCTGGTTTTGAGCATGCCTGTGAGTGCCCCATGGGCCTGCACGGGGTGGGGATGACAAGCACCAGCACAAGGAGCAGGAGGGAAGTGGTGCATGGCTGGGGAGTGGGACTCTGGGAAGAGGGTTGCACGGAGCTGGGGGGATTGCCATGGGAGCTGCAGATTGATACTTTCCCGGATAGTCACAGCAGAGTGCACTCCGCCCTGAGCCTCCCCATGACTGGACACTTCTGTACCTACCCCTGTCCTTTCTGTTCCCAGGTGCGCCGGACCCACCTGCTAATGTGCACTTGTCTGTGGCCAGCAGCAGTTCTGTGCAGGTTACCTTCGGGGAGCCCCTAAGTATCAACTCAGCCGTTGTCACCAAATACAAAGGTGAGGCCATGGGAGAGCCGCGCGCCCGTGGCCCCTACAGGACGCCAGAACAGGGCAGGCCCAATGCTCCCGTGCTCAGGGGTAGAAGGCAGCATGGTCTGATAGTTAGGGCACCAGGCTAGGAGTCAGGAGAGCTGGGTTTTATTCCCAGCTCTGCCAGTGACTTTCAGTGACCTGGGATGAGTCATTTTCCCCTCCCCATCTGTACAGTGATAGTGGTATTAAAGTGCTTGGGAACTATAGATGGAAAGAGCTCCTGTGATATCCGAGCCTGTGTGATTTCACTGCGGACCAGTGATCTCTGCTATGGCTTGAGGCAAGGGGTTTTTTGCCTCCCTCCCCGCTTCTTCAACACAACTGTTGATAAGGAATAAAAATCCACAGGGTAGTCGCGTGGCAGCCTGGTTATTGCTGAATGATCCCTTTCCAGTCACTACTAACTGACACCGGACACTGGGCATTAATGGGCATTAATGTCCATAGGAATAACGTTTGTAATGATATTATTAAGCTTGTGTGAGGGAATCTCAAATTCCAACTCAGGATGGGCCCCTAGCAAAACCCTGGTCCAATAACCCTGGAAACGTCAGGAAGTTTGTCTGTATATTTGAACTTTGCAGCTGGCCCGAACCTACTCCGGGCTGAACCAGGATTCGTACACACCCAGACAGAGGAGAAGTTTGGGTCTGGAGCTGAACTTTGCAACCCTGTCTCTTCCTCGGGTTGATCTCTGGATCCCACAGGAACAAGGCCCATTTGGCGCTAGCACCTGCTCCTGCAGAGGGATTTCCGATCCCTCCTTTTCAATCTGGTGTGTCCTCTAATATCTTTGGCTTTCACAAGAGTTTTCTTTTACCAGGCACCACCAAATCCTGATGTTTAATCTACTTTATCTGTTCCTCCTCTATGCCTTTCTCTTGCCTTTGTCTGATCCATGTGTCTTTCTTTTTATCTCTGGGCTCGTCTGTCTGTCTGTCCATTTAGCCTGTCTGTCTCCTCTCCATCTCTTTCCCCAAATGCTCTATGCTCAGTCTCTGCTATGTCCAGAAATACAGTCGAGCCCGCGGGAGTGCCTGTATTGTGCCAAATGCCTGGGGGCTCTCCAGGCAGTTGGTTTCCGATCCATATCATACCTTCTCCCGTTCACTCCGCTGTTCCTTTTCTCAGACATCTCTGCAGCATATGCAGCTGGCCTGGCTGTATCTAGTTCTTTGATTTCATAGTCAATCCCCCTACAGCAGCTGTACCGTCTATGGCAGCCTGGCACTGTAAGCTAGCCCAGTCCGCCTGCCAAGCGCTACATCCCTCTCCTTGTTCACGAATGCCTCCCAATGACTGACAAGGCCGTGGGGCTCTCTTTGTTTGCAGTTGAGTGGAGCTGTTCCCCAACCTTCTCCCCTCCCCTCGGGGAGGTGGTGATCGACAAACTAAAGAACCTGCACTTCACCATCCGGGGGCTCGTGTCGGTAAGTGAGCGCGGCACCACATCCCTTCACTCTGAGCCATGGCAACGAGGCCATGTGAGGGGTAAAGAGGGGTGACAGGCCACAGGCAGAGCTGCCCTGCCCAGATGGGGGCAGTACTAGAGTCATCTGAGGACAGCTGAGCAAGGCCGCAGCCTGTTCTTTAGCTGGCATCGCCCTCTCCAGGATTACTCCCCACAGGGGCCTGGCTCCACTCAGGTGAATTTCAGCCTGAATGAGTCCCTGCACAAAACCCCATATGTGCCCTCTCCAGGTATTACCCATACTGTGCTGTGTGGGCATGGCACCACGTTGGGAGCCACAGAGCCCCCTGCAGCTCCAAGCAGCCATGTGGTGAGTGCGTTCCCCCGGGGTTCTGTATTACAGGTGCCATATTTAGTCAGTCTGGGGCAAAATTTTCCAAAGAGAGGCAAGGTGCATCTTCCACCCGCAGTTTTGAATTATGAGTTCACATGTGGGTACTTGCCTCTCTGGCTCCCCAAAAACATGGCTGCCAGTTGTACCTGCAAATAAGGTACTGAGCCTTTGCTCTTTTGCACAAATACCCATGGTGCTTTTCTCCAATAGACAAGACAAAGGAGAAGGAGCCTTAAAAAGCCAAGAGACCAAACAGCCCAGCCCCGTACGCCACTATGCATATTTGAACACATATGTATGCAGTGATCTTCCCTACCTGACACTACTAGCTGCAGGGCACAGGGTTAATGGAAGAGGCATGTGCAGGACTCATTGTTAGTGCTAGGGAATGGTTCTGGACTGAGAGCCCAGCGCTAGATTCAGTGCAGGGTCTATACCAGTGTAAGGCACAGGCCCCTGGGGGTGGAAAGGTCACTGGGGGAAGAGGTCATGGCAGTGCAAAACTGCTGCCACTTCCATTGCAGCTAGAGGGCTGTTGGGAGTGGAGACAGTGAGCAGCACTGTCCAGGAAGGGGGCAGCCAGAAGGCATGCTGGTTCCGATTTTCCTCTGGGCAGCCATGCAGCCACATTTGTTGCAGATCCTGGGGACAGTACTCCAGATCAATGAGCCCCTCAGCCCTAGTGCCGTGCAGGACTCCTGCTCTTTGTCATGCTGCTAGCAGTTTGGGGAAGTGACCCAGCTCTCCCCAAACCACCCCCTGGGAGGGGATGGCTTATCCCTGTTCACAGGCAGGATGGGATCCACCAGTTTACCCTTATGGGTGGCATCTTCCATATAACCCCTAGACCCCATGAAACGATAAATACTCAGGGGACTGGAGAGGCATCTGTCTTCCATGTCATGGCCTGGGCTACTTTGCATGGTGAGGGAATGGGGAGGAGGGAATTCCCAGGCATGCAGGATCCCCAAGCAGGAAGGAAAATAGGTTCATTCACTAAGCCTCTAATTTATCCCCTGTCTCCCACCCTGCTCCTGTCTCTACCCAGGCTCCTGCTAGCCAGCAAATCATGGGCCGATTCCTCAGCCACCTGCAAAGATCAGACTCTTTCACCAACTCCTTAGCTCATTGGCTCTCAACCTTTCCAAACTACTGTACCCCTTTCAGGAAGAGGATTTGTCTTGCATACCCCCAAGTTTCACCTCACTTAAAAACTACTTGCTTACAAAATCAAACATAAAAATACAAACGTGTCACAGCACACTATTAATGACAAATTGCTTATGTTCTCATTTTTACCATATAATTATAAAAGAAATTGATTGGAATACAAATATTGTACGTACATTTCAGTGTATAGTCTATAGAGAAGTATAAATAAGTCATTGTCTGTATGAAATTGTAGTTTGTACTGATTTTGCTAGTGCTTTTTATGTAACCTGTTGTAAAACTAGGCAAATATCTAGAGGAGTTGCTGCACCCCCTGGAAGACCTCTGTGAACCTCCAGGAGTACACATACCCCTGCCTTGAGAACCACGCCCTTAGCTAACTGGGGACAAGAACCAGCCTCCGATTCCATCTCTGAGAGCTTACCAAGGTCATGGGCTGGTTTGGGCCAATGCCTCTGAAACCCTCAGGGCCCATGTTGCCTGTCAGCCATCTCCTTCCCAGGGTGTTATGGAGCAGTTCAGAAAGCAAACACAGGAGCTATGGCTCTGAGAAGTGCGGCTCAGTGACAAACTTGAAACATGGCAGCTGAGTCAGAGATGTAGCTTTTAAGCCAATGTGCCAAGTCTCTCCCACAAACCCCAGCCTGAGTGTGATGGTCTTATCTTGAGCAGGTGTGAGGAAGTGAAAAGGCCATTGGAGACTCCTCATCAGGGGGGCAGAGAGATCATGAGAGACACTCCTGCAGTGAATGGATGGAGTTACTGTCTTGGTGTAAGACAGTTTTATAGTGGGAGGGGAGTTTGAGCAGGAGGAGCTAGACGTTAAAGCTAGACACAGAAGTTCATTGTAATGCTATGTCTACGCTCAGGGCGGCATGTAGTGTACAGGCACTGTGTGTAGTTACACACCACAGAGAAAGGCTCCGGTTGCTGGGGATGCAGTGGGGAAGGGCTCTGGTTGCTGGGAGGCCGTGGGATACTGCACTGCTAAAAATAGCAGTGTGGCAGGGGAGGCATTGCTTGGGCATGTGGAGAGCATGTAGGGTACATATCCTAGCGTTCAGGTTCATAGGGCGCTCTGCTCTACTCACCTAAGCTGTGCCTCACCATGTACTGTTTACACCTGTGCTAGCTGGTGCCTGTACTCTACACTCCACTGCAAGTGTAGACGTACCCTAAATCACTCACAGTCTGGCATAATTGATCATCTCTGCTCCATACAGCTCCTAGGCTTGAGTAGCAAGGGAAGCTGCAGATCAGGGTTGGGGTGCATTAGCAGAGTCAGGTGGGGGCTCTGGGTTGGGATAGTGGGGGTGCTGCAGGGAAAGATTGAGTGTGATTGAATGAGCTGTGTGAGAGGTGCAGGACTAAAGAGCTGGGTCAGGATCAAAACGCATTGTCAGAGCTGTGTGTGGGCCTGGGACAGGAGGAAGGAAGGAGTGTTGTAGTAGTGATGGGAAAGTCTTCAACAGAGCTGCAGGGCAGTGTAGGACTAGAAAGGGAGGCAGTGCTGTGAGTCAGGGTGGATGGCCAGTGACGGAGCTGCAATACCAATGGGATGTTACAGGTCAGAGTGGAAGGGCAGTAACACAGGAGGCCAAAGGAGTTTAGGGGCTTTGGAAAATCCCACAAGGTGCCTAGCCACATCTTTAGGCACCTAAAATCTGGCCCACTATGCCCAGCTCTAACCAGAGCCACCATCGTCTGTTTCATGAGCACTGAAAGCTTTGGTCCGTCCATCCATCTCCCAAAAAACCCAAAAGCTCTCAATCGACAAACTCATGGCATGAGCTGTAGGTCACTGTCCGTTCTGCAGCTGCTTCTGCTTGAGCACGGATGACTGCGGGCTATGTCGTTCATTTGGCCCCTCACCTCCCAGCTTGTGGCACTTTCCTCTGTGTAGCAGGAGCAGGGGGTGGATAATGCCATGGAGACGCTCCAGGGGAAGGAAGGCTGCAGGGAACCCTCCTAATTTACAAGTGCTGGGAGCAGTGGGATGCTATGTGTCTCTGAGACTTTCCAGTCATATTTACTGCCGCTTACTTCCCCATCCCCTGCAGGGCACGGCCTACTATGTCCAGGTGTCGGCCTACAACATGAAGGGCTGGGGACCCCCGCAAGCCTCAGTGCCACCTTTTGCTATCCCCTCCAGTAAGTACGAGCGTGGGAGACTGCTTATGGGGGCTGCTGCCTGCCTTGTGTGAACTGGCTTGGACTTCTGAGGGTGGTTGTGGATGTTACAGGCCTGACTCCAATTTATAGCAAGGCCACTTCGCACCACTCTGGCAGGCAAAAAGGGCCTGAAAGTGGGAGTAAATGACTTCTACTCACTTTAAGGCCCCTTTACACTTTCTAAGCAGTGTAAAGCAGCTTTATGGTGAATCAAAAGTAGAATCTAGATATCTATCTACCTCTAGATCTTGAGATGTATGTGTAATGATGTATATGGAAATAATGTAGAGAACTAGATCCAGTTGTAGATCTGTGTGTATAATAATATAGAGAGATTTGGATGTAGATGTATAATGTGTGTATAAATATATGTTGATCTATATATAAATCTAGATGTAGCTCTGTTTATAGAACATATGTATAAATAATAAATGGATCTACATTCTGCTATGTGTGTATAATAATGGGTGTATACATGTACAGTAATGTGTATAAATAGTATAGATAGTGCATCTGATTACCATTTACACTGAAATGGCTGTGCGCTGTTCTGGCAGTGAGTATAAATTACATTTAGACTTACTTTAAAGCCTCTTTACAGTGCAGGAGCAGTGTAAAGCTGCCTTATCATAATGAGAATCAGGTTGTGCGTGTGTGTGTGCGTGTGTTTGCATTATATGTGTGCATATCGATATAGCAGGTATGTATAAATCCAGTTGAAGTTAAACAGACTATTTGTTTATTTTTATCTTCTTTAATATTACTCCCCTGTATACAAATCCCTCTCGTTCCCAATGTAATATAGCCAGGCACCTCCCTGGGTGTTTTTAAAGCTCCTAAAAATAGTGCCAACTCCCAGCCAAAGTTAACAGAGCTGAACTTTCCATGGAAAACAGCAGTGTGCCAGACAGGGGGATTTAAACCAATTTAACGTACAGCTAATGTAAAAGACCGGTCAGCCCTGGTTCCCCCTTGCTCAGTAGCTCTGCCACCTTGTAACCAGCTGGAGCTGGCCAGAGGGATTATTTATTTATTTGTCTAGGTGCGTTGTGCTATCAGCACTGACTGGTCTCAGGAAGCTTCAGCTCCAGGGAAGTCCTGGAGGAAGACACTGGAAAGATTTTTAAACGAACAGTGAAGAGCAGCAACAGACACGACCTTGTTCTTTACCTTGATTTGTCATCTCCTCCTGCTGGCCACAGCTGTTAAAGTCCAACCACTCGCAGTTACTGTTGGGTGGGTGGATGGCACAGGGGTGCTAACCATGGCCAGTGTCTCTCCAAAACCCGAACTGACCCAGAGAGAGAGAGAGAGAGAGAGGCAGGGCGAGATGGGGAGCGAAAGAGAGATCTGTGCTGTCTCTGAAGAATGACCCAAGATCAGTCTCCAAAGCCTACTTGCTGCCACGGTACAGTGCAGGTTTTGCATGGCCATCACAAAATGGGCTCCCAGCTCCAACATCTGCCTGTCCCATCTATTCATAAGAGAAAGGAACATCTGTGTTATTGTTCCGCTAAATCTTGGCTCCCCTCTTCTATAGTCTGTAGCTTTAAAAAATATCAGTCCTGATCCTCCACGGGTGTCAATGTGCACGGCTCCAGTGAAGACAACAGAGCTGCATCCGTTTGCATACTCTGGGGATCTGGCCCAATATTCCATGCAAGGCATGTTGTTTCTCCTGCCCAGTGCGCCACCCTGGTGACTTCTGTTTTTTCTCTAGGCATTAATGCCTCCCAGCTAGCGTCACTAACTGAGCTCCCAGGGTTGCTCACTTCATCCCATCCATCTCAGGAAAGCATAGCCATGAGAGGCCTGTGGGCAAGAGAAAAGAAGACAAATAAGGCTTTCTCACAGACTCCGTAGACCCCTACCCCATTACATGACTACGGTAGTTTGCTCCTGCCTATGGAGTGGGCAGATGAGGCAGCCATGAGATAAAGAGCCATGTAGCATGCTGTGACTTAATGGAGACCTAGCATTGGAGGGTGGGATAGAAAATAGAAGGAAACAGCTGTTCCTGAACATTAGCTGTGAAGCTGGAAGGGGGTAGCTGAGGCTCCATCAGCCTGAGGCAGCTTCAGCACTGGTCAAACCTACACTGGGGTAATAGTCACCCTCCTTCCCCATAGACTGGCGGGAATATGATGGGAGAGCACCAAGGCGAAGGGGACAAGCCGAAGCCTTAGATCACCTTCTCAGCCAGGTGAAGACTGTGCATCAGCATTGTGTCTGCCATGGTGAGTCCGGGTCTGCAGGCTGATGCAAAGCTTACAGTTTCTACGGCACAGGCTAGGGTAGCACGTGAGCCAACCCCTACTAGCTAGGAGGAGTTGCTCCTAGGGATGAAGTCAGACTAGATAGGCACAGGATGGGTAGTTCTGGTAGCTGAGTTTTAACACTAGAATCAATACAGCTTGTCCCTCCCTACAGCATGTTCCTTTGCACATGACAGTGCTGTTCTTGGTGGGATGATGCCCGTTCAGAAGACGTTAGATGGCTTTGGGGTGGGCCTGCCCCCCTCCACTTGCATTGCTGCTTAGCAGAGGGAGCTACTGGGAACCACTGGTACATTGCTGGTATCAGCAGGGTCAGAGGAATGGGGGAGACAAAGCCATTGCCAGTGTCCTGTCTGAAAAGACGTGAAGGAGGCAGCCAGTGAAAGCATGAGGGAGGAGATTTCAACCAGGTTCTCTTTCATGGTGAGGAACATCCAGAGGCTCTGGGCTGACTGAGATCTGCACCCCAGTCCTGGTGTGTCACAGAGGCTCCTTTGAAATCACTGGTATTGCTGGCTTCCAGAACAGCCTTTCTTGCTGTACCTCTGCATTTCTGCTCCGAGTTCTGGAACTGCAGAAGTCTCACAAGCATGTAGCAAGTTAGCAGAGAAGTGGGGCTGGTATCAGGCTATAGAGCCTTTCAACTACAGGTCACTGGGTCAAACTCAACCCTGGGGCCATGTGGGGAAGCTTGCACCACCCATGCACCATACCTGGTCTCTGATTAAAGACAGAACTGTCACCCCAGCACCATTCATTGGCACTAAGCATTTCCAGGGTCAGCATGCTGTGGTGGAGGGCACTGTACAAATAGCGCCCCCACATCCCGATTTGTTCTCTATGCTGCCTTGTTCTCCAGAGTCCTGCAAGAACCAGCCCCAGAGCAGGAAGCACTCGGTCTCCAAAAGCCTGAAGCACCTTTTCCACCCTGGCAGCAAGTTCTTAAAGACTCTGAAAAGGTAAGTGCGGGTGAAAGGGCGGGGCGACCCTATCCTCGGGGTGTCCCTAAACCTCTGCATGCCAGAAGCTGGTACTGAACGACAGCGAATGGATCACGCAGTAAATTGCCTGGTTCTGTTCACTCGAGCTGAAGCATCTGGCACTGACCACTGTCAGAAGACGCAGTGCTGGGCTAGATGGACCATTGGTCTGACCTAGTATGGCCGCTCTTACGTTCTAATATCTGGGAGCATGTCTCCCATTGTAGACTCATACCACACTGTCATGGCGTAAAGCGGCCTGGACTTGGCTTCCTGCATGTGATAAAAACAGCAGCAAAACTTAATGAAAACCTGGGTTTCAATAGAAAAAGCTGTTTCTGCTCTTGGAGGAGATGGGCTCGTCCTCAGGGATGAGCCAGTCAGCAAGGGGAGCTGGCTGCTGGCTTGCCCTCAGCACCGGGGACAGTGGAGCTCTGAGGGACCACAGAAAACACAGTCATTTAGGAAATCTCTCTCCTTGCTCTTACACACGCCTTCCCTGCTTTCCTGCATCTCGTAATCCCTGCTTCTGGGCTCCCGTGTGCACTCTGGGAGAAAGACACCTTTGGAAAATAACCTACCCCCCAGTGATAACGGGCTTTCCCCCAAAATCTGTCTCCTCTCTCCCCACAGGGGCCTGTATCTCACCTCCATCTTCTACAAAGACGACAACATCCTGGTGACGCACGAGGATCAGATCCCTGTGGTGGAGATAGATGACACCTACTCCTGCCTACTCATGCAGGACTTCCTCTGGTTCACCAAGGTAACACATGTGGCTACTCTGTCCTGCATGCTATGGCCTTAGCACCTGTGATTGCAGGCCACCTTTCCTACGCCGCCACCATACAGGCACTGGTGAAATTAGGCCTCAGGGCAGTGCACCGTCCAGTTAAGTGCTTTGCTGCGGGATTCTTTTAACAAGATCAAGGAAAGACACAGATTTTTCCCGTCAGTGTCTGAAGCCAGCCTTGTTCCATTTCTACTGCTGAGTAGATGTAGTAGCCCCATAATGATTTACTACTGCAGTTCTTTCACCCTCAGCTAATTGGATCCAGGTTTGTCCTAAGGGCTGAGGTTTAGCTGGGCTGAGAACAGTTGCACCATGTCAGTGGCAGCCTAGGCGGATGAAATTAGTGAGTGCTACTTCTGTGACTTACACCAAGGATTCAGACCACCGCACCTCTGGAAGCTCCTGGGCTTCCCGATGTTTCCTCTGGGCATTTCTCTGTGATGCTACCCTCATGTACTCTACACAGCATGGCTATAGAATGCCATGGAGAGCTCATTGCAGTGAGACACTGGCAGAGCCAGCGTGAATCAAGCTGTACACTAGTGCCAACCTCCAATTGGCAGCCACTGGCACCAGTTGGGGCGATGGAGCTCAGTGGCACATGCGATTTCCAGGACTGTAGCTCGTCCCACTTTCTGTACTAATGGAGAAACCTCCCGGAAGATGCTTCCACACAGCCCAAGCCTGACAACATGCCTGAAGCTTTTAATGGAGAAGAAACATAACATATCCGCTTGCAGTGGCCGCATAGACCCCCCCTTTTGTGTGCCTATTGTGTGCCACCCATCTACGCTGCTGCGGATTTGTACCATCTTTCTCTGAAGGGATATTCTGCCTCTTTGTCAGCAGCCTTGTGTCTGTCTGTGTCACTGCTGCTTTTTGCTGCAGTAGCAGCGTTGAAGGACCAGCGTTGTCACTTCTGTAGGATCATGCAGAACCAGGCATACAGGATACCACTGTAGTGCAGCGTGTTCTGGAGGCAGCACTGAAGTGGTGGAAAGGGACGCTGCCAAGTAGTTCAAGCCCAGCATTTGATCTCCCATATCTTAAAATGGTTCTAATCTGTTGAGGAGCACCCTTTAGGATGTCCCAGATGTAGGTTTAAAAAGGCCTCGATTGCAAAGATGTTAAAATGCATGGACAAAATTTATGGGACCTACACAAATCCAGTGTTTTATTTTTGCTCTTGTACTGTGCAGCTATCCCTCGTCTCTGAGCTGTGCTGACATTACTGGGGGTTGAACAGGTCTCCTGGGTGACGGGCGTGGTGTAAAATCCTAGGTGGGGGCGTGTTGTTGATGGTTCTGCTCCGTACACTGCAGGTTGCCTGCATGTGGGATGAGATCATGTGGCTGCGTCAGTGTCTCACCGTCTCCCAGTCATCCTGCTCCTGCATCCTGCAGACGCGTTTCAAGATGCTGCTGGCCATCTCACAAATGCAGGTGAGAGGAGGTGCATGAGAAAGAAGCAGTGGGCCCAACAGCCCCGTTATGTGGGTATCTCTTATCGAGACAGACTCGCTGTACCAATCCAGTAATGTCAGCAGGGGGACATTCTGACCTGGGAATCTACTGCAGTATTACATGGAAGTGATGTCATGAGACACACCCAGTCACTCCCTACCCTACTTAGCGAAACACAAGGACCTAGTGTGTGATAGACTACCTTTTGGGAGATACAGGTTGGACTAGGGCCCTACCAAATTCACGGCCATGAAATCTGGTCTCCGCTGGTGAAATCTAGTCTTTTGTGTGCTTTTACCCTATACTATACAGATTTCACCGGGGAGACCAGCATTTCTCAAATTGGGGGTCCTGACACAAAAGGGAGTTGCAGGGATGTCACAAGGTTATTTTAGGGGGGTTGTGGTATTGCCATTCTTACTTCTGTGCTGCCTTCAGAGGTGGGCGGCTGGAAAGCGGCTGCAGGCCGGGAGCCCAGCTCTGAAGGCAGAACTGCCGCCAGCAGCATTGCAGAAGTAAGGATGGCATGGTATGGTATTGCCACCCTTACTTCTGCACTGCTGCCTTCAGAGCTGGGCGGCCGGACAGTGGCGGCTGCTGACTGAGGGTCCAGCTCTGCAGGCAGCAGAACAGAAGTAAGTGTGGCAATACAATACCCTGCCATCCTTGCTTCTGCGCTGCTGCTGGTGGCGGCTCTGTATTCAGAGCTGGACTCCTAGCCTGCAGCCGCTGCTCTCCAGCTGCCCAGCTCTGAAGGCAGTGCCGCCGCCAGCAGCAGTGCAGAAGTAAGGGGTAGCAGTACTGCAACCCACCCTACAATAACCTTGTGACCCCCACCCTCCCAAAACTCCTTTTTAGGTCAGAACCTCTAAAATTACAACACCGTGAAATTTCAGATTTAAATAGCTGAAATCATGAAATTTATTATTTTTAAAAGCCTATGACCATAAAATTGACCAAAATAGACCATGAATTTGGTAGGGCCCTAATGATAACCCCGGGTTTTAGACCGCCACTCTTACCAGCACCCTTGACCACTATCACTTTCTTTATCCTCTCGGAGTCTGCCAGGCTAAATGCTGCAGCTGAGGGGTGTAGGGTGGTATATGAAGAGGTCCTCCATGCATGCCCCTGGTCAAGACTGGACAGACAAAGGATGCCCTTCATAACCCACCACTCCAGCCCCCTCCCCAGACACAGAAACAGCCTCCTCTCAGGATATGGCATGGCTAGCTTCCTGCAGAGCCAGGTCAGTGTTGCCCCATAACGAGTCTCCTATCTATGTCTCTGTCTATGAAGGGGCTGCTAGGAATCCAGGACTTGGGACAGGTCTTCTTTGAGCCAATCAAAGACAAGCAGGGCAACATCTTGATAGTGACACTGAAGGAGGTGAAAACCAACCAGACTTTTGAGAGCGTCCGCTGGGTCCCCCTTTCCAAGCTGCAGACAAGCCGCAAGTCCGTCTCCTCTCCAGAAGAGCCCACCTCTCTGGATATGCTGCTGATGACAATGCAGGTGGCCATTCTCATGCCAAAGGAGGGCTTGGAGGGGGGAGAGGGATCATGGGAAGTTTTAAGAGAATAAGGCTCAGGAGCCAATCTGGGCTCTGTCTCTCCTGAGCAGTCTGTGGCGAGTCCCCTCAATGTAGTATTTAGTTCTCCGTATTCTTGTTTACCTTTTTTTATTCCAGTTGCTCTTTTTGCTTCCCTGGGCTGTTTCTTTCTCCAGCCCGTTAGCAAACCTCTGCAAAGAATTTCCCCTTCCCTGATGGCCTGGCCTTACCTTTGTCTTTGCACCCTCTGATTCTTGTACTGCAGCCTCTCTCCTTTCTCTTTCCTTCAGACATGTGTCTGTCTCAACAAGATCTCCTCAAGCACCTGTACAAGGGGCTGTTGAGGCTGCTGACACAAAGCCATTGTCAATGCCAGCTAGGATGAGCAGCTGGCAAACCACAAAAAGTTTGGTTGCGAGGCTCTTGAATCTCGGGAGATTGCAACATGGGGCTGGCAATCTGACAACAGGCTCTTTTGTGTGGTTGCCAGTCCTTCCAGTTCTCTGCTGTTGGGGTGCTGGTCCTGGCTGGAGACTGGAAGTGCAGATGAAATGACTGAACAGAACTCATTCAAACTGCACACGTGGTTGAGGCTGAGGCCTGGTTTGGTTCTTATTTTATCCAAGTCTGTTCACCCCTCTCTGCCTAGGACTCCAAAAGGGCAAGTTTCCTCAGAGCCATCCCTGACAGCCCCAGTCCTGCCATTGTCCGTCTGCCGCTTCTGTATAGAGGTAGAGAGGATGAGGGAGAGTCCTGGCATGTGGAATGCTTTATGTTGACCTCTTCTTTCTCCTCAGGACAAGCTGGCTTACCACCAGAGAAGCAGCCAAGCCCTCGCCCCAGGCCTCTACCTGGCCTATCTGAAGCTCTGCAGTGCAGTAGACCAGATCCGAGTGCTGGTGCCTGAACAGTTACCCAATATCCTTTGCCATGTGAAAATACGGACCAATCCCAACATCTCCAGGTGAGCATGCAGAGCAGCTGAAGTCCTGAGCTGGACTCACTGGGGCACAATGAGAATTGATCCCTTTCCCCCCATTCAATGTCCAACCCAGGGTCCTGATACAGCAAGGTCCATAGGCACGTGAGCATTCCTAATGCTTAACATTAGGTATGTGCATAAATACCTTGCTGGATTGGAGCAGAGGTCACTGCAGGGATGGGTGGAGGGTCTCTCTCTCTCTCTTGGATTTGGCTTAGCTTGGCCAACCAAGATCATTTCTGAAATCCAGACCCCAAAATCCCACCTTTACTACCTGCCTCTCCCACACTATCATCCCTGCCGTTAGCTTTACATTCTGCTCCAAACCCAGTCCATTGCTGCCTGGGACATGCAAGGCACCAGCTGCTCTGTGAGCTATAATTGAACCATAACCTAGTGCTATCCCCTGTAGCCGAGATTTAAACCAGGGCCCTGTGCTCTTCCCTCTTGCTCTTTCACCAGTCGTGACTGTTATGAGGAGCTGCTGGCTACTGTTCAGATGCCTCCCCAAAGGAAGGTGAAGCTCAGGCTGCATTTCAGGGATGAATGCCATGGCTCACAGTACATATCTGCTAATGCATGCTCACTGACACGTGGCTGTGGACAGTCCTGAATGATGGCGAGTCTCTGGTTTCTCTCTGTGATTGTCTCTCCTTCTCCAGGGAGGAGTGGGAGTGGCTACAGAACCTGGCCAATTTGGAGGAACCAAGTCCCACTGAGCCAGAGTCTGAGACTTCCCAGAACCCCTGGTATCAGGAGCTCCAAGAGGCCATTAAGGAGCTGGTGAACCTGGTCAACATCCCCCTGCGAGAGGTACTGGTAGAAATGGGAGCTGAGGGGTGTGGGCGGAATGGCGGGAGCTGTGGTCCGCACAGCCGGCTGGCTTGTGCCGTGGCAAACCAGCCACCTCAGCCTCTGGAGGCGGGATTGGCCCCTTTGTGGTTAAAGTGTTCATTGTATTCCCTCGCCCCACAAACTGAATTGAGTTTGTGGGGCTCCCTGGCTACAAGCATGTCTCTGTCCCTGCCCCAGAGACAGAGCTGGGAGCCACTCTCCGAGTTCGGCACCTCCTAAGTAACTGCCCTTGGACCTAAAACAAAACAGTTGTGTTTTGATTGGCAGTAGCACCTGGCTCTGCCTGAGGTGACTTGTTTCAGCTCACAGCAGTGACGGGACACCTCTTCCAGCTAACCTCTGGTGGGAGCTGGACTCACTGGGGCACAATGAGAATTGATCCCTTTCCCCCCATTCAATGTCCAACCCAGGGTCCTGATACAGCAAGGTCCATAGGCACGTGAGCATTCCTAATGCTTAACATTAGGTATGTGCATAAATACCTTGCTGGATTGGAGCAGAGGTCACTGCAGGGATGGGTGGAGGGTCTCTCTCTCTCTCTTGGATTTTGCTTTAAGGAAGTCGACTTGTATCAGCAGCATAGAGGCTATCAGAGGAGGTGAGGTGTTCAAGCTATCCCAGAACAAAGAGGATTTGGGATGGTAATACAGCATAACAAAGCAATGGAGCCTGGCACCTGGGGAGTAAATGATGGATGCTAATTATCTCCCCGTCAGTGGGGAGCTCCATTGGGAGCCTTTGACATATGGGAAGTGGTGACGCTCAAAGCATGCTCAGTGTGCAAGGGAGCGCTCTGCCATCAGCCACGCTTTGAGACATTCCTGCCTAAAACCAAGAGGGGCGATGACTTTGCACTGCTCTGGTTACACTGGCGGAAATAACGCATTGTTCCTGCTTTTCTCTTTGAATGCTGCAGGCTAAAGATTTCCGTCTGTACAGTCAGGAGGTGCTAGACTTCGGGGGACAAGTCTCCTTTCTCCTGCTGCTTCCTCCATCTGATGACGTCTGCACTGCCCCGGGCCAGAACAGCCCCTACACCCCTCGCTCTGGCTTTCTCACGCTGCCTCTCCAGATCTTTGAGCTAGGTGAGAACATCAGCAGAGGCAGCCCAACCATCCCTGCCTCCTGTGTCCTCTAATCTTGGATCTGACTGTGACCTGCATGGTACTGCTCCAGAACACCTCCCTCTTGCCCTTCTCCTGCCTTCCTTCCCCACGAGACCCTTCACAACCCTTTGGACCCTGCAGTGATAGGCAGTACCTTCCCCGTGCTTAGGGGCACATTCCCCTGCCCTAACAAAGCCAGCGGGGAGGAGTTAGTCTTCCAGTGGTTTAGAGACTCACCTCAGTGCTGAGCACCACCACAGTCAGTGCAGGAGCAATCCCACCTTAGGGAGGGCTTTTGGAGTTCCTGGAAGAGGAATGCAGGTGGGATGCAGGTCCCGCAGGGAAGGAGGATGTGCAGGAGGGGTTCTCAAAGCTTCTCAGGTGCCAGGGAGTGGGTGGGAACTCATATTGTTGTGGGTTTTGTGGTTGTCTTGCCTGTCCTTGATAACAAGACTGCTGACCCAGTCCCCATGGGGAGGTGGGTATCTTCTCCCATGTCGCGGTGATCCACCTTGTCCTCTCCTGTGTGGTGGAAGGGGAAAGTCTCCTGCTGTCCTTGTTAAGTGGTATTGTCCTGTAGTGTCTGCAGGAGCCAGGGGCTCCAGGGGAGAAAGCAGGACTGTGGCTCCAGAGAAGCAAGGCGCTGGGTTAGCTGCTGTAGGTACAAAGCCTGCTTTTGCCACACAGCTTGCTGATGAGGGCACACTGAAATGGCTCAGTCTGCTGGGTCCACTCAGAGCTTACAAGAACGAGCCTTTTGCTTTTGTATGTGATGCTGCTGACTGAGGTCTTTCCAGCTGCCTGGATTGCTGACCACACTAGCTTGTTCACCCCCCAGCTCTTCAGAGAGCAGGGTGATAGATGCTAGCAGAACACTGACGGTGGCTGCTACACCCTGCCATTCATTGCATCTCTCTGGTATCCCAGCTCAGCCCCTGTCATGCACTCTCTGCATTCTTCTGGGCAGCCACCAGGGGGAGAGAAAAATGGCTGCCCCTCGTTACAGCTCAGATACACCTGTGAGGAGGGCCACTCCCTCCATCTCATTCCAGCCATCTCCATAGAGGATGTCACTTCCCTGAGATAATGCTAAATCCAGTACTGGGACCTGGGCTAGCACTGCACCATGGGAGCTGTTGCAGAGTTAGCGGTGGTAACAAAAGATGGGCCTTTGTCCATACTCATTCAGTCCTGCTTTCCCCAACTGTGGGTTTCACCCTCAGTAATGGAGAACACCCTCCCCTCCTGTAGTTTGGGCAGAATTCAGCCTTCCCATGTGTACAGTACTGTCCTCAGAGTCCTTGATGCATCTCGCCGGGTTCAGTCTGTTCACACAGCATCAGCCATTCCCACCTCGCAGTGCCCCACCCGCCATCGCCTGACCTTCCCCTCTCACCTTTTGCTTTTCCAGTTCACTTCTTCACGTATGACCGAGAGTTCATCAGCCAGTATTGCCAGGTGTCTGCGCTCCTGGAGCTGGAGTCTCTCCTTTCCCAGCAGAGCCTCAGGGAAGCCTTCTCAGATGCTGAGCTCTCCACAGCTAAGCAGAGGCACCAGCAGGTTCAGGACTACATACAGGTATGTGACAGCAGAGGGATGTAGTGAGTGGGGCCTGCTCAGGGCTGGGCTGCCATGCCAGCATTCTGTGCACCCTGTATGGGTTGTCCAGAGGCTCCCATGTCCATCATCAGATTACCCACTTTAGGTTGGTATGATCTGGCATGGATCTCCCTCTGCCAGCTGTGCATCATCTACAGCTCACAGGCCTAGAACCTCAAAGGTATTTAGGCTCCTAACTCCCATTGGAATCAATGGGCATTAGGAGTCTGAAACCTTTGAGGCTCTGGGCCATTTCCATTGTAGTTATCAGCTCTGCTGTCCTGCATTGAAGTACCTTTACAGTGCTTCGCTGACCTAGCAGTGATGGTCTGCAGGGGAAGTGGCAGCAGCAGGCGCTCTGTCAAGCCACCCCGCTCTGATGCAATGCTCCCATTAACAATGCTAATGGCAAGCCTGAAACCTGCCCTGATGGGACTAGCTTTGGAAGTGCATGCTGGGTATGCAAATGCAAAGAGCACGCCATACCTTTGCTTCCAGCATTTCCATGGCCACAGCAAGGAGCTCTTGCAAATGGGACAGGCTGTGCAGAAACTACTAGATGAGCGTGGTAGCATGTTACTGTGCTTAGGGCACCATGCTGGGAGCTAAGAGAGCTGAGTTCTGTTACTGGCTCTGTTGCTGACCTGGTTCCCGAGCACCATCACTGCGCTGTGCTGCAGTTTCCTCTTTCAACAGGGGAGAGGAAGGATAGTCCAGTGGTTAGGGTACTGACATGGAAGATCTGGGTTCAATTCCCTGGTCTGCCACAGATGTCCTGTGTGATCACAGGCTGGTCATTTAGCTGCTCTGTGCCTCGGTTCCCCTCTGTACAACCAGGATAACAGCCCTTCCCTACCCCTGGGGCGTTGTGAGAGTAAATACACTAAAGATTGTGAGGCGCTCAGATGCCTGGGATGGGGGCCAGCTCGGTACCTGAGATGCATAGATAGATAGATAGATAGATAGATTCTCACCCAACCTTTACAAAGTGCTTTTAGATCAGCAGATAAAACACCTTACAGAATTGCTACATGCTGTTATATCCAAGGGATTCTGGGGCTCATGAGACAGCAGTGCCATCCTCTGGGAAAAGACTCCCCTCGGGGATGTTCCTGGCCCCGTTATCCCAGTACCAGGCCCCTGTGCACTCAGGGACGTGTGACCTTGCCTGTGGTTGTTTGAGGCCAGGGAGAGACCTGTTATTTTTTTTTAATGGGTTCTTTATCTTTTGCCCTGGCAGCAAATGGAGGAGATCTGGCGTGAGATGCGCTGGATGATGGATGCCTTGCAGCATGCCCGGTACAAGCAGCCATCTTGTGGCGTACCTCTCACCTGGTTCCTCAATGAATCCAGCGGTGCAATGAAAGAGAAAACACAGTCCACATCATCGCATCTGGACTACCTCCCCTCACCCACCCCATCTCCAGAAACCAGCCGCAAGCATAACTCTGGTAAGGGATCCTGGCGCGTTATGTGGTGCCTAGTCAGTTCATGTGTATTATACAACTGGGAATGTTGCAGCTGCTTGTAAATATTCTGTGAATGAAATCTGACTGGTGAGCTTTCAAAGTCCAATGGGTCTGGCATTCTCAGATCCTTCATGGAAACCTGTCAGGTTAGAGTGGAAGGTTTTGCTACCCAGATCCCATCTGATGCTTGCATTAAGGCTATGAATAGAAAATGACTCTGTAATTATGGTATCTAATTATTCCACATATGCTCAATATGCTTTATTGTCCTTTATTATTATTATTTATTATGGTTCCTAGACGGCTCATTTATGGATCTGGGCTCCATTGTGCTAGGCACACACACAAAAAAGACAGGCTCTGCCCCAAGCAGCTGATCATCTAAGTACAATTTCAATAGCTTTCATACCCAGTTGGCTCAGCTCACAAGTCATAACAGGTGCCTCTAAGTAACAGCACTGCAGATTCCACCTGGGATCTGGAAAATAAATCTAGGTGCATCCTGTCTCTAGTACCATCACCAGTGATAAAGGTTCGAGGAGCTGTGCTGGGGACCCACATAGCAATTGGCTGCCTGGAATCAGAACGTAGCCAACAGCTGAGTTAATGAATCAGGGGCAGGCTAGAATCCAGATCACTCTGCTGGCTTGGCATATTTCTCTGACTCCGTGCATAGGGCTCTGAAAAGCAAGAGGCAGAAGACAGCTGCAAAGCCAGGATGGCATTTACATAGCTGAATGAATACCATGAGCCCCATGTTAAGTAGGCACTGCCCCTGTGAATGAACGAGCAGCACTGGGAAGGAGGAATCAAAGATGGGCCTTGAGAACTCAGACACAGTGGTTTCGTGGTCTGAGGGTCATTTGCTAGAAGTCAAGGAGGAGGGTGGAATGTTCACTCAGGAAGCATCATTTTTCTGCAGCTCTCATGCTGAGTGAACAGATCCATCTCCAGCTGTGCAGTGTAGGGGAAATGGACCAGGAGCTGAAACAATGCTAACCGTGGGGAGCGTGGAGGACTGAAGCCACCTGGTAAATGTCACATTCTGGTTTTTCAAACTGATATTTAGTGGCTCGGATTTTAATTTTGGACACGGCTTTCACCAGT